GAGTGTGTACAATGACTGGGCACCTTCCCATTTTAAGAAAATATGCTCCGCTATCGATGAACTGCCCCAGGTAAATTTTGAGGTGTCGCAGGCGTCACAGATATCACAGCAACCTGAAGTATTACATCAATCGGAGCTGAGTTTCTCAGAATCAACTGGACTTTCGCAAGGTGTCGGAGGCGTTGATATTCAAGGCTCTAGTTTTACATCTGTATTGGAAGAGGCTGATGGTTTGCAGAACGTTGCCATGGGTGCTCCGATAACCCAGCAGAGCGAGGAGGGCTCTGCTGAAGCATTCAATATGTCCAAGAAGAGACGTACCTTTAGATAGGCAACTTGAGGAGATGGCAGAGTCGGACTTTGCAGCCCGAAAAAGAGTGACAATTTATTGCGTTATCTTGGTGCAGCTACATATTTGCCTTCTTTGCTCGATTAACCCCTCCGTGCTTGGTGATAAAGTAAACGTAAAAATCTCTCACGGAGTCCACAATTTTATACTTCGAGTTGTCCTTGTCCCACCCAACTGAATGATGGGACGTACACTTCGTGGACTTCCTTATATTCGAGCTTCGTTCCTCGAGCTTTCTCCTCGTTGCCTTCTTTATTCTTGCATCTCTCCAGTTTGGTGTCTTCAATTGGCTCCGAATAATCTGATGACTGCTTGGTTTGACGAAGAACATCCATGAAAAGTTGCTGCAGCAGTTCCATTGTAACATGCCGCCAACGCCGTCAAACAAAGACCCTCTCATAAAATCGCTTGAAGGAGAAAGAACAAAATACGACCATGGCTATCAGAACCAAGGAAGAGTCAATGGGAGGTTTATGTCGGATAATAGTTTCTTGCTGCACCAGGCAAGGCTATCCATTTCCCCTCCGTATCAGGCCCTTTACTACAGCCTTGTGCGAGAGAAAAATTTGTCCGGCCCCTCTCCCCCCCCCCCCCCCAAAGCCTTCCCTTTTCTCCTGAAATAAGAGTAAAACAACTTCCCAAAATTTGCACCATCATCATCGTATTATTGTATTTGAACCTTATCGCATGGAGAAATCTTTCAACTCTGACATTGTCAATAAACTCATGTCCTGACTGCCTTACACTCCGAGTTCCTGGGAACTTGGAAACGTTTCGGCAAGGAGCATGCGCATATCGAAATGTTCGGGACTGGGCAAGGAAAAGAGGGACGAATTTATTAGGACAGCAAATGAAAGGCACTCAAAGGCTCAATCTCAACTTCTTGATTCAACATCTCAGAGCCAGACGGCTTCCGAGGCAGCTCCTACCGTGGACGACTCTGATGCATCGTCGTTGTATGACGAAGTGGAGTAAGGTGATACAGCGGGTAATAAGACTACTCGGTGTCCGAATTGATGACAAATAGGGCTTGTCATGCACAGGTGCGGACCATAACCTGCACCAGGCCAGTTTCCCTTTTCGGGGTTGATCAAAGTCACAAGAATTGCATAATAATGATCGCTCGAAACTTCCCACCGGGGTGTGGGGCCCGTTTGAATCTACATAAAAATCAAGCAATCGGTAAGCTTTTACCTATCGTTGGGCTAGGGATAGTGGGAGGTTAGGGGAGGAGTTGGCTCTCGTCCATTGGGTGGGTCATTGGCAATGTTGCGCGGGCTTGGGTGAGCCCCCTCGATGGGCTCGTCGGAGAAATCCGACAGGTGGAGTGACGGTGAGGGAACATGGACCGCGGGGGAGTCGAACAGAATCCATTCATCCCATTAATGTCATCAGGACTAGAGACGGTGGATCGAACAAGATCAGGCATTTGCTTACGAGACAGTAACTTACAATGCTAGTCTCCTTGAATTTATGGCATCGGCGGGTTCAATGGGGCCCCCAGAACCTGGCGAGTGGTAGTTACATTTTGCATGGGATTAGGATCGAATATGTATCTATCACCAAATACCATACCTCTATTTAACACTAGGCCTTCTCGTTCCAGCCTTTAGCGCAGCTATTCTCTCGATTTTAAAAAACAATGCTCGCACGTGATAGTAGACTGCCGTAAACTGTGGGACGTCTATACCACAGCACATGCACTGTATATCTATGAAGCGGTAGATGATTGATTGTAGATAGATTAATTAACTTAGAACTTTCACAACTTATCTACTTAACTGAATTAGAGAAAGAAGATTTAAATAAATAACTCATTTCTTCTTCACTGCTGATATCTTTCTCTTTTCACTCATTTGTCATCTCACATACTCAGTTCTGCATGGGATTGGAGGTTTGTAACTATCAATCATATCAATCATATCAATCAATCAGCCACTTATTTCTCAGCTTTCAGATATTATTCATTTCTCTTATATAGCTATCTAAACAAAAGAAAAGCTCAACAAAAAAAAAAGATTTAAGAAATAATCAATAATCAACAATAATTAATAAATAAATAAATCATCAGAATACAAAAAACCCATGAGTGAAATATAAATAACAGATAAAAAACAAAATGCCATCAAAGCAGTAATAGTAGTAGCAGTAGTAGTACACACTGTCTCTCCAAACATACATACACAACAATTGGGGACGGGGTTGCGCAGCCGTTTATTACATAACAGCAGACCCCTTTTCTCTTGAGCTGATTTTCCTCATTTTCCCCATCCCGTTCCCTTATCTTTATCCGAAGGAAACATAGAATAAACAATTGGAACGGACAGAAACCCAGAAACAAACTCTCAAAAGAACATAAGAAAAGGAATTTTTTGTTTAGGAACAAAAAAAAAAATTTCAAAAAGAAAGAATTTCCTTCCCCTGCCTTTTCTTCGTATTTCTC